AAAAAAAAAAAAAAAAAGAAAAGAAAACAATGTTGTACACGCTGTTTGCAAAAGTTATTACCGCCAGCGCCAAATCGCTTAACGTCTGTCGCATTCTTCGCTTACTTTTCGCAGCAGCGATTCGATTGATATGACCCCCAATAGCGTAAACCTTAGGCTAACGTAAGTAGCATCGACGCAGCGATCGATGAACGCCGTAGAACGAACGTTTCGCCGACGCGTTTTAGACCAACGATTAATTTACCTTCGATGTGATTCTCTATTAACCTAAAATGCTCTCAGTGATCTGAGTGTGAACATTGTCGAGTGTCATCCTGCCAGCATCCGAAACTTTTTACGATTATCACGTCACCAAAAGAAAAAGAAAAAAAAAAAAGAAAGAAGAAGAAAACTAAATCTCTGCACCTGATGAACCTGTCGTTATTTTTTTCTTCTTTTCTTTTTTTTTTTTTTTTTGTTGGCCTTGTTTTCTTCAGTCCTTTTTCTTTTTTCAATTTTTGTCTGTCTCCTGTCGAGTCATTTTTTTCTCTTTTTTTTTTTTTTTTTTTTTTAGCAGTGTCAAGAACCTCTCGATGTCATTTCATTGATTTCATATAGGATCACTGATACAGCAACCAATCGAAAAACAACGTCCGCGCGACGAACAGAGTTGAGTCGAAGCTAACGATTGAACGTTTCTGCGCCAACAGATATTCGTTCGAGCGCAATTCGACTACGATCCGCTGGAGGACGAGCTGATACCGTGCGCGCAGGCTGGAATCGCGTTCAAGACCGGCGACATCCTGCAGATCATCAGCAAGGACGATCATTACTGGTGGCAGGCGCAGAAGGACAACGCGGCCGGATCCGCGGGCTTGATCCCTTCGCCTGAACTTCAGGAACGACGTATCGCGTACATGGCAATGGAAAAGAACAAGCAAGAACAAGGTAACGACTGAACAATCGGCGTGGTCAATTTTATTTATAGACAATCATTTGGTTTTCCTTTTTTTTTTTTAAATCATAATCGTTCTTTTAAAATCACAGGGGGTATTATGTTCAGTTGTAACGCACGGAATGTTCAATTTTTTTTTCTTTTTTTCTCTTTCTTTCTTTTTTTTTTTTTTTTTTTTTTTGATCAAACGAATTCAAAAATTGAAAAACTGTCGAAACTTTCGTTTTACGCGAGCTCGACGGAAGTCGAACTAATTAATTTTATGCAGGAGGATCGTTTGGCTTCTGAGAATTAGTTGCGAATTTTTTTAACGTGTAGGAAGTTAATGCGAACGAAATTAATATCAATGATAATTATAATTGCCGCGAGATTAATCACTTCAGTGAGATGAAGTAACATTCAGTAGATATAAAGTAATACACATTTCACAATCTCATTCTTTCGCGAGATAAGTCTGTTTATTTGTCCCATTTCCAGTATCAGCTATTTTCAATGATTAGCATAATATCTTCTTCAAGATCATACTTTTATAATTTTTATAATTTCTAGTCTAAATTTCGATAAGAAAGTTAAAAATTTCATTAATTTTTCGTAACACTATCCAAACGTAAGACTACTGAGAATTTACAATGTAACTGTACATTAAAATATATCACGTTTCAGTTAGCAAAATTTTGCTTAACGAGTTCAAAATATAATATCACGTTACTACCTTATTATCGAATAAAATTTTAATTCATTTCCCACTCAATTCCGTTACTTGAGAACTTCAACATTTTTCGAAAGCACGCGTATTTTTATCAATTCTCCCTCTGTATACTATCTTATAACGAAATCAAGCTTAGCTACCAAGAGGATTTGATCGTATCAAGAGTAGGACATGAAAAGCAAACGTAATTAGCTTCCATATAACTGTGCAGCAAATAAGGAATCATTCTCTTTCTCTCTTTTTCTCTCTGTCTCACCATCTAGTCTATCATCGAGAGAGTTCAGGATAATTATAGGTTCCAGCAGATCGCATTCTGTGTGATATTCAGAAACGGGAAGCGAAAATGAAATCTTTTTCGCCGCGTCTCTACCATCGTATTATACCTTACCGTGTCCATTATCAAACCTCGTCACGTTCGATTCTCCGATTAATCTCCGCTACTCTCGCTACTGCCATGAAACGAATGTGCTGGTGAATATAGTGTTACATATGTGTTGTTAGATGTGCGCAGATTTTCAATGGAGCATGTAGTATCGTTCGATGTCAGTCGTGTCGATACACGATACAGGTTCGCGAAAAATCTACCAAGTTCATTCCGCGCATATATCTGTGTGTATGTGTGCGTGGTTTCCTCCCCTCTCTTTCTCTGTTTCTGTCTCTCTCTCTCTCTCTCTCTTTGCATTTCTCCGACTGATTACAAAAGTTGAGTGTTTCTCAGTGACTGATCGTGATTTACAAATAATGAAATTGCAATTTTGATTTCAATGAATCGGGAATTTTTTGCGGAAACAACTC